AACATCTTGTCTAAAAATTTTTCAATCATTTGCTATATCGAAAACACAGAAGCATTACTTGTATTCATATCAGTACCTATTCATATTGCCGGAAATTCACCGGTTCAAGAACAACTTATAAACGGCCGTTTTCCGGCCGGACCGGACCGTTTTCAAAATTTCTTACCGGTTCCAGCTCTGCTCAGCATTAGTTTGAGATTAGTGAAACAATCTTTAATAAGGTCCAAACACCTTTCGAGTGAACATGTTTGTTCATCCTAGACTGCTTGAAAATATGTTAGTATAAACTGCAATCAGAATTTGAATATAAACTTAGAAATGTTGTGTCTATTTTTGTTCAAGAGTTGTAAGAAACCTTTTTGGTCCTAATATATAAATTAATTTTCTTTTTTTCACTTTTCAAAGATTATTTCACTAGGAGATCAATAATAAACAAACATCTTATCTAAAAACTTTCTGATCGCTCATTATTTTCAATGTAAAAGATTTTTTTTTTTTTCACATACCGAACGACAGCTGCACCACAGGTGAGACCTAATTCACGTAATGCTGTATTTGATAAAGCATAATTACCGATCACTTCTTCGCTCATATATGAACAAACAGGAAATAACTTATTATCAACGTTCATTGAAGTATCAAGAGCAGCTATCATACTTAAATATTTAACGAAAAATAGTTATTAAATATAAAAAAATAATGACAAACCTTTCGGATTGACTACGATACCAATTCAGCATTTCTTGAAGAGTGATTGAAGGGTTAAAATTACCCGCATGTCTTGAACTATCTGGTAATTGTAATTGTACAGTAATATCACTTGTTGGTCGGCGTTCTTCTAATTTATACATTTCTAAAAGAGCATTTGTTGGAATGCTTGCTAAACGCCATGGCACTGTTAAATCACATTTTTTACGCTGATGTCTAAAAGTTTGACTTATTTAATAAGATTAAAACAAATATGATAGACTTACGTAAGGCCCCATTCAGATGAATCTAAGTTTTCTTGATTACATATATCTTCGAGTGCCTATTGAGGTCAATGAAAAAGATTAATGATGATTAACAGTTATGAAAAGCTTTATAGAAAATGAAAATAACAGTTGGAGTCTTCGAGTGTCCAAAGAGGAAAATGACACTTCGTCTCACCTCCTCGTTACGAACTCCGGTAGCAGTAGTTCGTAACGATCTTCGAACATAAGAAAAAAGATCGGATGTTCGGAATGAGATCTGTGTCCAGGACTTCGTAACAAACTTTGACAACACATTAACGATGATTGAAGAGATAAAATTTGACTGAAGATCGGAATGAGAAAGTCCAGAAGTTCGTAACGACAAAGGCAGGAGAATCGTAATAAAAATCATAGGATGTTCGTAACTATGTTGATATTTGCTCACTTTTCAGAGATTGTAAAGTAACAAGCTTGTTTTACAGTCTATGGTAGAGAATGAAGAGCGTTTTGATAAATGTAACCAATCAAGATTGCTTTTATTTTTCTTATTCTATCTCTAATTAAAAAAAAAGAAATATTTTCTCTTCACTTTTATCCGTTACGATCTTTCTGTAAATTCTCTTACGAACTTCCTGTTAATCTCGTTCCGTTCTTTTTATGTAAAAATACTGTTAAACATACATTCTGAACATCCGACACTGTTCATTACGATCTCCAGTCATTATATAACATTGCCAAGAAATATTGTATTTCGAACACCCGGTCACATCATTCCGATTT